ATCTGTAACGTAAGTGTACTTTGATCAAGAGCTTAAGTGAAGCAGAAATCGAACGCACAGCGTTGAATAGAGCTTTGTGATGGGTCGTGTTTCACCCTGTGCGTCCACGCACACTGAGACCTCATAGTAATGTTTGTGAATACGGGAGTAAAACATTTCGTCCCTCCAGAATAGCTAATTATGGATTTTCACATCCCCAAATTGGCAAAGGGCTTAGTGGTTATCGCTCCATATCCTACAATGGCAGTAGCAGTTAGTTCTACTCCCGCTGGGGACAAAATATGAGCACAGATATAAGTGTGCGAGTACAGTACGTCGTTTAAAAATATTTTTAGTTTCACACTTAATATTTCTTTGTTTAAATTAAGTGATTGGGATTTGCAATAAAATATGAGTATACAGTTTTAATAACCTACCACATAAAATAAGTTCATTTTTCGCTATTTTAAGAATAGCAAGCATACTCTCTAAAATATTTTAGCCGTTCCCTCCAAAACTTGGTTCCAAAATTCACCTCTAAAAATCAGGTTAGTTAAAAATAGACAAGACCCATCTATTCCACTATGCAAACCTCAAAGGGCCACTATTGGGCACCTGCCGCGACCTTTCAAACCCTTTTTGTCACTACACTTTACTTTTATTTGGGACGAATTTCTGTCTGGGCCACTGAATAGCTAGTCTAGGTTTGGAACGACCCGATGGTTGATTGCAAAAATGCAGCTGATAGTTGATTTAAAATAGTATCAAGTGATCTATTATACACTTAACCCTTAATTTGACTTTGTCCGGTAGGGCGGACACTAACTTTAGAAACCAAGTAGGGGGTGTTGTAAATGTTATTTTTATTTTATTCTACAATATTATTGTTTTATAACCTCTAAAAAAGTTTAAAAGAAAGTGAACTTTGACGTTCGCAACACTGTATCTGTCAGTCGCGAACAAAATGTCAGCGAAGAGATAGTCATCTGTTTTCGATAAGGTAAATTTTTNTAGTTTTTGCGTGAAAGAGTATCAAACATCCAGACATCCAAACTTTCGCATTTACTCGTATAATACCTAGTAGGAAGTAAAATAGTCTGTTTCAGAGATAGAGCCCTTTAGAAAGTCTATAAACTACAATTTTTGGTATTTGATAGAGATATCTGGCTGATAAAGAGAATGTGACCAGCAGACAACATCTGAATTTTTATCAGGGACTGGATTTTAATGTCGTCATGAAAGATTAAAAAATATTTGTAAGCTTTTTGGTACCTTACACTAAGAATTCCAACATTAAATAAAGTGATAAAACCAATTATCAAGAAAATAATATTATAGAACATTATAAGTAGGTAATTAATGTTATTCAAAAATTAAATACCCTGAATATCAAAATCATTTCACGTAACCAATTGAAAGCAGATGAAATAAATTAAACGATCTGGCTTCTGGATTACAGTACAGGTGGAATAGGCTTTATTTTCTAAAAAGATGTGCCGCCGACCTACGTATTATACCTACCTACGCAGATTTTTTTTCATTAATTTAACATTCATAATAAGTCAGTCCCATGATTGAATTGGGAGATTTATTTCAGTAATTGGTAGAAAGCTACTTTCACGAGCTTTGATGGAAACCCACAAACTTTCGCTTTTTACTTAGAATTAAGTTAGGGTCTAATGATTATATTACTGGGAAAACCTGATCCTCTTTTCTCCCATTTGGGGCAACTAGCACTTGCGGGTTATCCGTGGATGCCAATTTGTTTGAAGGTTTCGTCCTAATTAATACTTAGAAATATAGGGGAAAATTTCACGAATTGTTATGTTCGAGATTTGATTTCCATTCGGTAAATGTTTTGATTTCATTTCAACTGGGTACAGTCAGCTTATAAGACTACAGATTTTTGTTGAAAAATAGCATCTATTACAACTAGAATAAGATGTCACAGTGTTTAGTTTGATGTCGTCAGTACATCAGGCTTCGGTAAGTACAAAATCCATCACTTTGACAAAGGTAAAATAGCGGTGTGTATGGTAGAGTAAATATTATGAGAGTGGTTAACCCTACCATGATCTGTCATAATGACTCTCCCATAGATTTTGTATGGCAAAGAAAAGTTTTGACTCTAGGTACTTTTTCGTCAACTACATACTTTTTGGTGTCAAAACTACTAAAAATCCAAATACGTAATAACATACACACATATTTGAAAATTAAATTTTAAGATTAGACTATATTATGAGTTGTTCTATAGAAGTTGTATCCTAGAAATAATTATTTATGTTGTTAACTGGCCAATTATCTATTTGGTAGACGTCACTCTTAAAGTTTGACACCAGAGTTGTGACATCAGTTGTATCTTTTTTTCACTTAAATGTTGTGTGATTATCACTTTGATATAGCATTACAATAAACTGCAAATAGCAATGTCCCCCAACTGGAGGAAGCTGTCGGCTAGTGGCGGCCTCTGGTGGTGCTAATCAGGGATGTTATGGATATCCGTAACCGAAACTTTCAGATATCCGAAATAAAAAAATATCTGTAACCGTAACCGATTCAATAGTTTCGGATATAGGTAGTTTAAATTGTTTTTTGAATAACATTATTGTAAAGGCATAACATCCTGATTTACCTTTATAATGCCACTTAGTATCAATTTTTATATTTTTATTACTTTCTATTCGATATAGTGTGCGGTCATGAATGAACCGTGTTGGACCACTATTGCAAATTGCATTCTATAGCACAGATATCCGTAACCGTAACCGAAACTTTGGGATATCCGAAATAAAAAAATATCCGTAACCGTAACCTAAACCGGTATATTATTAATCGAAACTACATATCCATAACATCCCTAGTGCTAGTCACCAATCAACGTGACAACGTATGCGCTGACCAGTTTTATCGGTGTGGAATAGAGGAATAATACTGAGGCAGTTACTTAAAAGACAATATAATTTGCCGTGTCTCCGCTTGCGTAGACTTCGATCTGTAACGTAAGTGTACTGTGATTAAAAACTTACACCTTTATTCACAAAGCATGCTTAAGTGAAGCAGCAAATCGATCGCACAGCGTTGAATAGAGCTCTGTGATTGGTTCGTGTGTCACCCTGTGCGTCCACGCGCACTGTGAGACCTCATAGTAATGTTTGTGAATACGGGAGTAAAACATTTGGTCCCTCCAGAATAGCTAATTATGGATTTTCACATCCCCAAATTGACAAAGGGCTTATGGTTATTGCTCCATCGTACAATGGCATTAGCAGTTAGTTCTACTCCCGCTGGGGACAAAATATGAACACAGATATTTGAGTGTGCGAGTGTGCGAGTAGGTACAGTACGTCGTTTAAAAATATTTTTAGTTTCACACTTAGGTAATATTTCTTTGTTTAAATTTAGTGATTGGTATTTGCAATTAAGTATGAGTGTACAGTTTTAATAACCTACCACATAAAATAAGTTAATTTTTCGCTATTTTAAGAATAGCAAGCATACTCTCTAAAATATTTTAGCCATACCCTCCGAAACTTGGTACCAAAATTCGCCTCTAAAAATCAGGTTAGTTAAAAATAGACAAGACCCATCTATTCCACTATGCACACCTCAAAGGGCCACTATTGGGCACCTGCCGCGACCTTTCAAACCCTTTTTGCCACTACACTTTACTTTTATTTGGGACGAATTTCTGTCTGGGCCACTGAATAGCTAGTCTAGGAGGGTTTGGAGCGACCCGATGGTTGATTGCAAAAATGCAGCTGATAGTAGATTTAAAATAGTATCAAGTGATCTATTATACACTTAAAATTAAGCTACCTAAAGCCCGTATTCACAAACGATGCTTGCTTAAATGAAGCAGAAAATCGAACGCACAGCGTTGAATAGAGCTCTGTGATTGGTTCATGTGTCACCATGTGCGTCCACGCGCACTGTGAGACATCATAGTAATGTTTGTGAATACGGGCGTAAGTCTAGGGAGGATTTGTTTATAAGACCCGATGGTTGATTGCAAAAATGCAGCTGATAGTTGATTTAAAATAGTCTCAAGATTATTTATACCTACACTTAAAGCGTTTTTAACGTCTGAAATATGGACTCTACCACATCAACGTGGTAAAGTTGTAATGTAATGTAAAACTCTTTCTCTAAGTACGGTGCACAGTGCACTGGTTTCTCACCATGTAGGTATTATTGTATAGAAGCAAACGAACTAGTGGTAGCGGCCTGTGTTTCGCTAATTATTTGAGTTGTAATCAATTTTATTGACGTCAAGCCATCGGCTATAAATTATAATCGTATTATTATGTCACAAGGACACAAAGTGCATCCATTATAAGTTAATATGCATTTGATTTGCGTTCTTTGTTCGTCTTTATTATACGAGTATACGAACGTGTAGATTTAAAATATAAATCTGAACCACATCGTCCCACGAGTCAGGCATAGATTAAAACAAAACGCGATCGGCATCGAGCGCCATTACTAAATGCAGTCCATCAGCCGAGTTTATTTCCATCGGTCTACGCCTAGGACGGCCCAAGGACACGCGGCGACCGACAACAACGTAGCTGAATCACATCCACACGAAAATGAATCGAAGAGGTCATCGCATCTTAAAAATTACAAATACATATAAAACTTGCGCCCGCGCCGACACAAACTTCGGAAACGGCTTCTGTTCCGAACACATCAAAACGTATCCTTTTAGCGAAATTAGTCAGTTCCCGAAAAACGCGGTCAACGACCCTCCCAAAACCTAAGTATTTTTGGGGAAAAAAAACACATGTTTACATAACACCGTGGATTTTTTAAATAAACTTTGCTCCGAAGGGCCTGCGCGCACACCGACGAAAATTTCGTGAGTCGCGTCTGTGTGCGTGATGCACACACGCAGAGGACATAAAAATGCCCAATCGGTACATGTCGCACCACTACAATGAAGGGACGACGTAAGTCGCATACAAGTGCATAATTCGGCCGAGATGCAAAAAAAAATATTTGGCAATGCGGCCCCTACGCGCCCGCCAGTCGCCCGCCCGCCAGGGTTAGGTTAGGTTAGATTTTTTGGCTCAAACCGCTCGTTGGAGATTTTTTGAAAATATTCAACGTCTACTATCAAATAGGAAAAGACGTGCTTCCTGCACATTATTAGCACAGTGCGCCGCGGTTTTTTGAATAAAGAACTCCCAAGTCTCTCGCCAATTGGAATCTAGTTCCAATTCAAATCGGTTTTCGAAAATTTTAACGCGTATTTCTAATGAGCGATTTGGACCAAAGTCCGCCGCGGGGGGCAGTTGTTTATTTTGCCATTATATTTTTTCAGAAGACACCGTCCGATGATGGCATAGTTATTGTTAAAAATTAAATTATTTATTGAGCAAAAGACTGTAGTGCTTTGTGTCGTGTTGTGTTATTCATTTACAATTTTTATTTTTTTAATTCATTGGACTTTCCTGTGTTTTGTTCCGTTGATTTATTTGGTGAGTATTTTTTGAATTTATTTTATTTTATGTTAATTTAAAAATATTTTATATTAAATCCCAGTGGTTAATACAGAGTTTAAGCTGAATAAATAGTGCGCAATTGAACTACTATAGCAAGCGAAACAAAAATAGCTAGAATAAATCTAAATAAAATTGTAAATCAACTTACTCAACAAAGAAAACGGTCGTGGGTCGTGTCCACTGTCCGCGTTGCATAATGGCACAATTTTATTCAGACTTCTTTTATTTTATCTAAATGTCTGGATAAAAGCTAGACAAGCCGACAAGGACACGTCGTCCAGTGACGTCAGCGGCGCTAGGCACTGGCGAAAGTCGCCATCTTGCGCGTGTGTTCTTTTTTTGAAGCCTACGAAGTGCGCGCGCGCCGACCCGCCATATTGTTTCTCAATTAAATTTTGAACAAAACAGGAAAATGTAAAAAGCCTGAAATAGTAAATTGCTCGAAAATTTAGGACATTTTTAGTCCAATCAGAAATTCTAAGTAATTNGAGTAATTTTAGAAATAAGCATTTTTTACTCGGTATTAAAAGCTTGATATTTAATTTTTCATATGACTTGCATGAAACTTTAGCTAAGTGTACTAAAGAATATTATTTCTTATTTTTATATTTAAGTAACGTGCAACGAAATGAAATTCAAAGATAAAAATTAAATAAAAGGATTTGAAAATAAAATAGAAAGTCTGCAGGGAAGAAGAAAGATCTTCTTTTTTAGATTAGTAATACTGAATTCTCAGTAAGTTCCTTCCTTTGTATATTGTTTTATCACATCTTAAATAATTTAAGCGGAAAGAATCCATTTCTTCTAGAACAATTCCTGCTTTCTAGAACTTTCCCAGCTTTTTTATTTGCGACTAAATAAGTTTTCAGTGCGTTATATCATGTACTATGTATTAGTTAGTTATTAGTCAACAATAAAACGATATACCAAGTAAGTTTGTAGGCTTGGCAGGAATTTGTGAGTTTTCGCGGCATATCAAATGTGTAATTAAAACAAAAACAAATTAACAAAACATTTCCCAAGTTCAAGGGTGTAACCTAAGAACTTAGCCTCAATGTTTCGTTCAATTCTTGTTTGGAAAACTATTTGTACCTAACTAATACGTACCTACTCAAAATTGAAGATTATTTCAGTTACCTACTCAATTTTTATATTCTGTAATGTTCCATCCTTCTTAAAAGTAAACTATTCATATGTACAGAAGGTAGCACACCAAACAAAACATTGTGACATCTAAAGTAGTTGTAATAGGCGCCATTTTAAAAAGAAAAATAGTGTGGTGTGTTGGCGACTGTACTTTTATAGCGAGGTTTTGTTTTTCCTATCTAGTAGCATAGCGCCCTCTGTGTTAAAATGGCGACATCTACAATCTACATAGAGCTTTGCTTTATAAAGCTAATGTATGAATATTTATTTATTTGTAATAGGTATACAGTTTACAGTTTTACTTAATTTTTATTTTAACATCTAAATTCTAAAGACATAAGAGGTGTTTTACTCAGTATTTAGTTTTAAGATTTTCTTACAGGTTGTGGAAACAACGGGACAATAAGCCAAATATTATGATCCTTTGTTATTGTAATAAATGTTTAAACGACTATAATAGACAGCTTGATGTGCTGATCATTGTACTTATAACATCATCGAATATTATTATGTTTAATACCGTAATAAGTTTTAATACAAGTAATTAATGTGTTAGATTAACATTTTATATCGGTTACATCGATTTAGAGCGGTTATATTAGGAATATGAAATGATAAACCCATTATTATCGTCATTTCAGTCACTGGACATCCACAGCTAACTATTACATTTCTTATAGCTTTTGTCAAATACAGTCAGAATAAAATTTGCCTTCATTAAGGAACTAGCTCTTTCTTAACCAGAAATGGTTATACTCAAATTCTCTACCGAATCAATCAAACTATACCCTGATAGTCCCATCTCACCAATGCGAAGTCATTTGGCCGCACAAATGATCTACCGTCCTTATCGCACGCGCGGGCGCCGACCAATCACAACACAGAATCTCTGTGTCAAATATCTCTTATGATTTTCGCTCAATGTGTCCCACATTCAGCTAGTTGGAAAACCAACTTTAAAATTGGAATAGTCTGCACTGACCAGTTTAACTTGCACGTGGGTTGAGCTCTATTATTGTAGAATTAAAGTTGAGAATTGGATAGAGCAAGGGTCTCGTTAAAGTGGTAAAGATGTTTTTTTTCGTCAATCGCTTATGGCCAGTGCTTTGTTTCCTACATGGCTTGTTGGTCCTTTTGCCGCTCTTTTAGTTGCAATGACTCGAGTTAAAGTGAAGGTTTAGTTACGACTTATATTTAGCACTAATCGCTCAATGTGTCCCACATTCAGCTAGTTGGAAAATCAACTTTAAAATTGGAATAGTCTGCACTGACCAGTTTAACTTACACGTGGGTTGAGCTCTATTATTGTGGAGTTAAAGTTGAGAATTGGATAGAGCAAGGGTCTCGTTAACCCAGTTGTTACGGATATCCCTTTTTTCTTACGATTCCTGTGATTTTGCNAAGTAATTTTATAAATAAGCATTTTTTTACTTGGTATTAAAAGCTCGATATTAAATTTTTCATATGACTTGCATGAAATTTCTTTAGCTTAGTGTACTAAAGAATAATATTCCTTATTTTTATATTTAAGTAACGTGCAACGCAATGAAATTCAAAGATAAAAATTAAATAAACGGATTTGAAGAGAAAATAGAAAGTCTGCAGGGAAGAAGAAATATCTTCTTCCTTAGATTATAAATACTGAAACGTCAGTAAGTACCTTCCTTTGTATAATATATTGTTCTTATCACATCTCTTCCCTTTTAAATAATTTAAACGAAAAGAACCCATTTCTTCTAGAACAATTCCTTCTTTCTAGAACTTTCCCTGTTTTATTTGTGACTAGCTTTCCGCCCGCGGCATCGCGCGCGTGGACTACATTATCTACATATTTTAGGAAACCCTATTTTTTCCAAAATAAAATATAGCCTATGTTACTCGTGGATAATGTAGCTCTCGAATGGTGAAAGAATTTTTAAAAACGGTCCTGTAGTTTTTGAGCCTATTCATTACAAACAAACAAACAAACAAAGTTTTCCTCTTTATAATATTAGTGTAGACAAAATAAGTTTCTGTGCGTTATATCATGTACTATGTACATAATATTAGTTCTCAACAATAAAACGATATAGGTACCAAATAAGTTTGTAGGCTTGGCAGGAATTTGTGAGTTTTCGCGGCATATCAAATGTGTAATTAAAACAAAAACAAATTAACAAAACATTTCCCAAGTTCAAGGGTGTAACCTAAGAACTGTTAGCTTCAATGTTTCGTTGAATTCTTGTTTGGAAAACTAATTGTTTTAAAAATACCGGCAATATTTTACGTACCTACTCAAAATTGAAGATTATTTCAGTTACCTACTCAATTTTTATATTCTGTAATGTTCCATCGTTCTTTAAAGTAAACTATTCATTTGTACAGAGGGTGGCACACCAAACAAAACATTGTGACATCTAAAGTAGTTGTAATAGGCGCCATTTTAAAAAGAAAATAGTGTGGTGTGTTGGCGACTGTACTTTTATAGCGAGGTTTTGTTTTTCCTATCTAGTATACCATAGCATAGCGCCCTCTGTGTTCAAATGGCGACATCTACAATCTACATAGAGCTTTGCTTTATAAAGCTAATGTGTGACTGTTTATTTATTTATTTGTAATAGGTGTACAAACAGTTTACAGTTTTACTTAATTTTTATTTCAACATCTAATTTCTAAAGACATAATAGGTGTTTTACTCAGTTTTTAGTTTTAAGATTTTCTTTCTTACAGGTTGTGAAAACAACGGGACAATAAGCCAAACATTATGATCCTTTGTTATTGTAATAAATGTTTAAACGACTATAATAGACAGCTTGATGTGCTGATCATTGTACCTATAACATCATCGATTTTATTATGTTTAATACCGTAATAAGTGTTAATACAAGTAATTAATTGTGTTTGATTAACATTTTATCACCAGGCTTGATACTGTCGCTACATCGGTTTAGAGCGGTTATATTAGGAATATGAAATGATAAACATTATTATCATCATTTCAGTCAATGGATGTCCAATGATGTACCTACTAACTATGACATTTCTATAGCTTTTATCACATAGAGTCAGAATAATTACTTAACCTTGATTATCATATGGAACTAGCTCTCTCTTCACCATTTCTATACGCAAATTCTCTACCGAATCAATCAAAGTATACCCTGATAGTCCCATCTCACCAATGCGGAGTCATTTGGCCGCACAAATGATCTACCGTCCTTATCGCACGCGCGGGCGCCGACCAATCACAACACAGAATCTCTGTGCCAAATATCTCTTAAGATTTTCGCTCAATGTGTCCCACATTCAGCTAGTTGGAAAACCAACTTTAAAAATGGAATAGTCTGCACTGACCAGTTTAACTTGCACGTGGGTTGAGCTCTAAAATTGTAGAGTTAAAGTTGAGAATTGGATAGAGCAAGTGTCTCGTTAAAGTGGTAAAGATGTTTTTTTTTCGTCAATCGCTTATGGCCAGTGCTTTGTTTCCTACATGGCTTGTTGGTCCTTTTGCCGCTCTTTTAGTTGCAATGACTCGAGTTAAAGTGAAGGTTTAGTTACGACTTATATTTAGCACTAAACGGAATTGTTTTGAGCCGGTTGTGAGGAAAAAGTACGCGTAAATTACTTTCTTACTACAATGAACTTGAAGGAGAGAAATCGAGACTCTACGAAGGCTGAGTTGCAACACCTAACTTTAACCGTAACTGTAACGATAACCGGAGTTTTTGTATGGAGTTTGACAGACTACTGACGTTTGTTATTGTAGGACGTTAAAGTAACGTGTTGCAATCCAGCCTTAGTCTAAACTCATCATAACTATACTGATGTATGCACCTTTATTTGATGCGTGG